ATATGTCACCTGACATTTTTATTAGTCCTCTGGAAAAATAGTAGTGTCTGTTGACTTTCTTTTATGTTCATCTCATCATAAATCTGTTATTTATAAAATAGCATAACATTTTCTTGGTTGTAAAATTGAGACTGGAAATGGGGAATGTGTCAAGGAGACAACAACCTGACCAAAGAGCAGAAAACAGCCACCGATGGGTCTTCAACAATGAGAAAATCCTGCACCCTGAGGCATGCTTCAGCTAGTCCCGTAACAAAAATGTGTACTAGTTCATTGAATAAGGATGTCATACTATATATATATAGCTACATCATGTACATGTAAACTCTGAAAGACCGAAATATATAAATATGAACTATAATTAAAAATCATAAAAGACTAACAAAGGCTAAAGGCTCCTGATTTGGGACAGGCACAAAAATGCGGCAGGGTTAAACATGTTTTGTGAGATCTCAAGCCAATGTAGAAAAAACAAACACACAGCATGGCTATATGCACATTAAAACTCAGTTTAAATGAAGTCTGAGTCCGATGTCAAAATAGGTAACAAAAGAAACTAAACAAAATGACAATTATACATAAATTAACAAATGACTACCAGCTGTTACTGACATGCCAGCCCCAGACCTCAATTTAACTGATTGAAAGATTATGTTTCATCATATGAATATCAACACTATCCCTCCCGTTAGGGGTTTAGTATCATACTATTTGTCGTCTGTTTATGTAGTTCATACGTGTTTCTCGTTTCTCGTTTTTATATAGATTAGACCTTTGATTTTCCCGTTTGAATGGTTTAACACTAGTAATTTTTGGGGTCCTTTATAGCTTGCTGTTCTGTGTGAGCCATTGCTCCGTGTTGAAGGCCGTACCTTGACCTATAATGGTTTACTTTTTATACGCCCGTTTACGGTACGTATTATGGTATACCGTTGACAGTCTGTCCGTCCGTCTGTCCATTCGTCCGTCGTCAACATGTCGGACATTTATTCAAAAGCGCTTTTACCAATTTGCATGAAACTTTGGTGAATTGTTTATATCTATTGACGTGAGCTCCCTTTCGTTTTTTATAAATTTCAGATTTACCATTTCCGAGTTTTGGGGTTTTATTCATTAAAAAAGGGGGGATTTTCCAGTTTTCGGACAATAACTCAAAAAATATTTCACCAATTTGCATGAAACTTTTTGTGAATTGTTCATATCTATTGACGTGAGCTCCCTTTAGTTTTTTATAAATTTTTGATTTACCGTTTCCGAGTTTTGGGGTTTTATTCATTAAAAAAGGGGGGATTTTCCAGTTTTCAGACAATTACTCAAAAACAATTTTACCAATTTGCAAGAAACTTTGGTGATTTGTTTATTTCTATCGACATGAGCTCCCTTTTGATTTTTTAAATTTCAGACTATACGTTTCCGATTTATGGGGTTTTATTCATTACGAAAAGGGGGATTTTTCAGTTTTCAGAAAATAATTCAAAAATGCTTTCAGCATTTTTTATGACACTTTGGTAAATTGTTTATATCTATTTTTGTAAGCTCCCTTTTGATTTTTATAAATTTTCGATTTTACATTTCCGAGTTATAAGATTTTATTTGTTTATAGTCTGACTACAGATTTACTAAGTAATGCGCAACAGCACAGTGTATTGCACAACAGCAAGAAATCTTTCATATAACCAATTTCAAGTTCTCTGACTACATTTATTCAGAAACCTATAATATATCAAATATTTAATTACAATCCAAATTCAGACCTGTATCAAGCTTGAATATTGTGTCCATTTTTGCCCCAACTGTTCAGGGTTGGACCTCTGCGGGCGTATCCAGCTGCGCTCAGTGAAGCAGTTTATTTAAATTGTTACTTGGATGGGGAGTTGTCTCATTGGCACTCATACCACATCTTCCTATATCTATCATAAAATATATAAGAAAAACATAACCCTGTACATCTGTACATGTATAGAAGAATAACATATAAATTATACTTTATTTCAAATTAAAGAAACAAGGCGCTTTTGAAGGGGCAACATAATAAGAAAATAACAATCAAAGTAATACAAAAGAACAATACTGACAGAAAGAATTACTTGATTGAGAAAAATTTAAAAAAAGCACATCATGTACAAAATCATTAATTATATCTTGGATTTAATATATAAATTATAGCATCAAACACATTTATAACACCATCTGTCTACTGATATATAAATATATAATTCATCTAAACATCAGCCGAACAATGTTAGATCTGTAAATTTGCGTTCGCAAATTTATTTGTTCTTCCCTCGCCGGGATTGAAACTCATACTACTGAGATATTGTGGCACAAAATCGTATTGCACTATATCCAACACGTTAGACCACTCGACCACCTAGGCTTCACATATACATATTACATTAAAAAACAATTCTGATAACCTCAATTACAGAATTTGTAGTGATGATGAAAGGCCTTGTGAAAAACACTTCATTCATTAAACATGTTAAAAAATACACATTGAACCAATTTTTTTGATGTATTCACAATTCATTTTTATTAAACATCTTTTAATAAACAATACAGAAATGATACATAGTGGTATTGGCGAGACTCAGTTCAAAAACTTTTTGTCATCACTTAATGTCCATTGCATAGATGCAAAGACCTTGAAAATTAGAGAAAATGAAGCCGGCAGTGTTCTTGATAATCAGGCCATCATGTCACAACAAAGACACTTGCAAAGGGAAATATTGAATTCCACAACAGGTTTGATAACAATTATGGCTATTTTGTATTTATATACATTTTCTTATACTTTACTTTATAAGCCTGATTGAGTACTTGATAATATTGGTAGTGTCTGAATATGGTCTCGACAAATGCTCAACCAGTCTGGACTCAGTCTCTACAATCTCAACCAAAAAAAAAAAGCAAGAATTTTCAGTTTGTACTTAAATCAGATAGTCACCTTTAATTTTCTTTCTAACTTTTCTAAATCAACTTGGATTTTCATAAAACTATACAGCTATCTTTATTATATATTGATCTTACAAAATGCAGGTAATGTGGCTATTTTGTTGATTGCCATAAAATTTAAGGATTTAATTAATAGGTAAAAAAAAGTCACAATTTTCAGTTTGGTCTAAATGCATAAAGATACCTATAAATTAAATTTTAAAATTTGACAGCAATAAACAAAAGTTGCGAAAACTACCAAATAACCTGGTATTTTGCAAGATCAATATTTAATTGAGATAGCTAAAGATGTTGATGAAAAATCAGAATTATAACTTGAAAAAGTTATGAAAATATTTAAAGGTGACTATCAGAATTTAGTCCAAACTGAAAATTCTAGCTTTTTTTAACCAATTAATTAAGTCCTTAAATTTGATAGCTACACTCTAAACTACCAAACAACTTTGCATTCTATAACATCATCATATAGTTCAGATAGCTATATAGTTTAATGAAAATCCAAGTTGATTTGGAAAAGTTTTATAAAAATTTAAAGGTGACTATCAGAATTTAGTCCAAACTGAAAATTCTTGCTGTTTTTACCTATTAATGAAATCCTTTAATTTGACAGCAATACATTAAGCTACCAAACAATATGGCATTCTGTAAGATCAATATATAATTGAGATAGCTGCAAAGTTTTATGAAAATCTAAGTTAATTGGAAAAATTTAAAGTTATAATTAAAGGTCACTATATTAATTTATTCAGAACTGAAAATTCTATTTTTTTCTACCTATTAATCAAAGCCTTTAATTTGACAGCAATGAACAAACTACCAAATAACCTGAAATTTTGTAAAATTAATATAAAATTCATTATATAGTTAGATAGGCTCATTCAGACCAGTCTAGACTAAATTTGAAGATCAAGATTGTAGACACAGGTCGAGACAGAGTCAAGACTGGACGAGCATTTTTCGAATCAATTATACAGACTATACCAAGATTGATATTAATTAATCACACTAATTAAGGACAGTCAAGACCAAAGTGGATTACAGAAGTGGTCTATTATTACTGCTTATTTCTATATATATATATATATTATATGTGCATTTTTTTCCTATTAAATTAGAAGATCAAACAGACAGTAGAAGTGGAATATGCATAAGTACTGATACATGCTGGCAGAAAAAAGGATCTGGCCGATCGTACTACAGCTTATTAGGTAAAAATGACAGTGCTTATTTCATGTCCATTCAGTGTGATCACCTGGTGGGGTGGATCTATAGAAATGCATTTTGCTTGTTAAATATTAGTTACTTTCTTTTTGGAATATACCCCATTATAAAAAAAAGATGTGGTATGATTGCCAATGAGACAACTCTCCACAAGAGACCAAAATGACACAGAAATTAACAACTATAGGTCACCGTACGGCCTTCAACAATGAGCAAAGCCCATACCGCATAGTCATACCCATTAGTCGAGGCATTATACCCCAAATATACACAGCAAAAAGTTTTATATATTCTTACTTGAGGAAGACTAAAAAATCATGATTTAAAATTCCTATGGAGATTTGCATTGAAAACGGGAGATAACTCTGCAAAAAAGGCAGAAATATCAATTAAAATTGATACAAAAATTATAACTTTACCGCTTCTATTCTATAGAATGTATTGATTGTTGATATTTTAGCCTTCTTTAGAGTATAACAAACAACTCTTAAGGTGTTTTCCTATCTTTTATCAAGCTACATTCTAGATTTCGGCATTCATTAGTTGACCATTTATTAAATTTTTCAACAAGTCAAGGTAAAAAATCTCAAATCTAATAAAAATAATACAGCATATATTTTTCTTTTTGTGGTTTAAAGTTTCTTTAAACAAGGTACTGGTAGATGCTGAACAAATATAATATACAGATATAAACTAAACCAAACTTTCACATTATTTTTTCAAAATGGTCACAAAGCCACAAATTTGCAATTTGTTAAATGAAAAAAACAAAAAAATACCCATAACTCTTTGGTTTTGTACATTTCATGAGCAACAACATTTTAGTATATGGGGTTCTTTGATATGCTCAATATAAACCTGTTCTTTTCAAATCTTGGCTTGAACATTGTGATTTAGATATAAAACTTCAATATGTTGCATTTTGAAGAAGTTTCAACACTGATTGGAAAAACCACAGGCAAAGTTGTAAACCATAAGGTTCGCATATCAAGCTGTAGAATTTGTGAAAGGGCAAAGGGCAGAGGTGTCTTACCACGACAACATAAGTGTAGAAAGAATTGGAGTGGTTCGGCAAAGGTATTTACCATATGAAAGCAATACTAATGGTAATAAACAGCACATGATACGCCCATCACTTTTTCAAAGAAAAAGTTCAATTACTTCTCAATGTCATATTTCAAATGAATAAAAATCAAAAGGGAGCTTACATCAATAGATATAAACAATTCACTAAAGTTTCATGAGAATTGCTGAAAGCATTTTTGAGTCATTGTCCAAAACTGGAAAATCCCCCCTTTTTTAATGAATAAAACCCCATAACTCGTAAATGTAAAATCTAAAATTTATAAAAAACCAAAGGGGTCTCACATCAATAAATATAACAATTCATCAAAGTTTTATGCAAATTAGTTAAAGCTTTTTGAGTTAATGTCCTACATGTTGACAACAGAAGAACAGACAGACAACGATATCTCATGATACGTCCCGTCATCATTGCATTGTGAAAACAAACAACACCTCAATATTTACTTTGAAAATAAGTTGTAATTTTGAATTGGCATATTCAATGTTTAGTTGATGAAAGTGAATGTGAGGACCATTCATTCTTTAGTGTTTCCAAAACATTTCAATTTCAAAAAATTGGCAGATTATTAGAATTGTTAGATACAACTGTTGAATTAATCAAACCGTGTACGCTTTCATTTTTGAGGAATTTTTACAAAAAATTTTGTCAATGCAAAGTTTAAGGCTTTTGATAATCAAATATGGGGTTGTGGTATCATCTAAATGTTTACTGAATACACATTATTTTAAAAACTATTTCAGGGTATGGAACCAGATATGGAAGTCGAAATGTTAAAGGAATTAGATGAAAAAGGAGTGGATATATTAGAAGTAGTAGGAGATGATGATTCCACAGGTTTTGACTGAGCCAAGCGATTAATAATGCCCAATTCAAAAATGGAAAAAATAAGTGATAGAAATCATATCAAACATAACATTATTTCAAAGATAAATGAACTAAAGCCAAAACACAAAGAGTTAACTGGAATGGTTTGTGAGGCAATTGTTAAAAACTTTACATACGTTGTCAACCAGAATGTAGGTAATCCAAGTGGTATTGAGGACGGCCTACATGCATCAATAAAACACATATTTGGCGAACATGATAACTGCAATGAAACTTGGTGTGGATACCTTAAAGACAAGGATTCCTATATCCATTCAAATCTTCCTCGTGGAAAAGACCTATGTTCGTCTGAACACAGATCAGATCTTGAGAAACTGTTTATTCAAAAAATGGTTCCACAGTCTAAAAAGCTATCTAACTTGGGCTCATCACAGGCAAATGAAAGCTTTAATAACTTAATTGCTCTCAAAGCTCTAAAAACCAAACATTTCTCCACATCAGCATCTTTAAATTACAGAGTCAGCTCAGCCGTACTCCAAAAGAATGAGGGTTATAATTATGTTGCTGAGGTATTATTTGATAAACATCCTATACTTAATTGCAATTAAGACAAATGAACAGAAATTAGCAACTTACATTAAGGCTTTAATAATCACAATGAACATGTAATAAATGCAATCTTACTTCATATATATATATATACTTCTCTATTAAAAAAAATAAACTAAAAAAATATAAAAATAAGAAAATACAGTATGATTGCAAATGAGACATCTATTTACCAGAGACAAAAAGACATATCTAAGCAACTATTTTAGTTCCAAAAATAAATGTATCGTGGGGGGGGGGGGGGGGGGGGGGGGAGGAAGGCACTTTTTATTTGACCCAACCATGCATACATTTTAAATTGGATATTTCATATAAATATTCAGGCAATCTTTCTTAGATAACCACCACCCATCAAATTTTAATAAAAGTGCTGTCCTACCTCCCATAAATTAATTCTGGAAAAGCCCTTACTTTTACAGCCTTTAAAAATGAGCAAAAAAACCAATACATTATGATATCAACTGTTAAAGATTCCTGGGTAAATATTCTGATTATTCTACATCAGGTCAAGATTAATCTCAATTTTGCCGAATTCTATTCAATGATTGATTATTGCTGCTCAAAATGTAATATTCATACTTCAAAATGCCTTCAACTTTCATTACAAAAGCATACAAAATATGATTTTTTTAAGGAATTATTATAAAGATGATAAAGACTTGCATGATTTTAAATGAATTGATTTTTCAGTTAAACACATCTATAGGCCTGTCACCTGGAAATGAGACCCTAAGCTGGGGTAATAAATTAAACAAGAAGAGAGAGGGCAACAAAAACAGATTAAAAAGCAAACAGGGAAAAAAACAACATAAAGTTCTCAAAAAGAAACGCCTACAAAAACAACAGTGGCTGAAGTCAAAGAAGGGAGAACATACCACAGTTCAATTGGTAATAATTCTTATATTGACAGAAAGTATGATGTGCTTTTTACTTTTGAAGAGGTCAATATACATAATTATTATTATAATAGAAACATAGCATCAATATATACTTTAAAATAGAAACAAGGCTTAGGATATATAAAATAACCTTTGATACATTTGATCATTATATCCAAATAGAAGAATGCAACACCATCAGGTCCATGCATATGTAATATTCATGTATATATTTTTATGTCCCCAAGTCAAAAAAGTTTTCAAATTATAAAGTGACTGTGCAATTAATCACCAACTGTGAAAATGCGTGAGATTTCAGGCAGACATTAAAGTTATATAATTAAAATGAAGATGTAATCATGAAATTTACAAGACTTCTGAAGTATTGTAATTTTTGGGACAATTTAGTCACAAAATATTGATGAATTTTAGTAGATTTTGATATTTTATAAAGTTGAAATTATTTTCTTTCAAAGACTTGGTATATATTATTTTAATTAGGGTTAGAAGATTTTGCAACAATAGACATAGAAGAAATACCTGCAGTTCCTGAAGCTGAAACCTTTACAAACATAGATGATGCACCAATAGTTTGTTTTGATTTAGAGACAACTGGTTTAAGTAAGTTATACATAATTATACTTCAGAAATGAGTTACCTCAATTATAAAAAAATATTTCAGTGGATAATGTTAAAATTGAAAGAACTGGATTTTTTCATGACATCAAAGATATAACAATATCTACAGAAACACATTATCAATGTCTGTATATACTGTGTAAAGCCAAATTTTAAAGTCAATGCATTTTGGCTGCGTTATGAATAAAGTATATTAAGAGGATCATGAATGACTCACCTTGATAATTTAGCTTGCTTTTGATGATTAATCTAATGTTCTTTTTTTCTTTTAGTTGAAATAAAACCAAAAACTGAAAATTGCTGAAACAATACATTTAAGGGGCAATAACTCTTTCATTTTTTTTTTAGCAATTTACACTTTGCATCTACCTTATTTTGGAAGTGAGATAAAATACAAAGATGATAATTTTAGAAAAATATTTACAGACCAGTGGAGCAAAACTTTTTTTTTTTAGTTATTTCAATGAAGAGAGATATGAAATAAGGAGATGTGGTATAATTGCCAATAAGACCATCAACGAAAGTTCAAATGAGGGGGATAGAAGACTTAGTCCTGTTTATAATTTTTTGACAATTAATTGCTTTTTCGTAATACCTTTTACAGTTTAGATGCACAATAATAAACAAAATGTTTAACTTCAGGTATATATTTTGATATAACCCAGATAGCTGCATGCACCAAAGACAGTTCCTTCAGTCGATATATATTTCCAGACCAACAAATTTCAAGAGAAGCATCAGAAATAACAAAAATCACTATTGTAGGACAAAAAATGTATTACAATGGTAATGCTGTTGTTTATAAGCATAAACATGAAAGAATGACTGATTTTTAACTTATTTGTATTTGTCAAGTTTCACAGATAAACCTGTATTGGTAGGACATAATATAAAACGATTTGACTGCCATGTTTTATTTAGACTTTTTGAATTTGTTTAAACTCGTTTCACCTGGCTTGTCATCTTATAGCCAGTCTTTTCTCGTTGATAAACTATTAGGTCAACAGTATGAATCTCATTATGCTGTGTATGACACAAAATTACTTTTTAATTTAGTCACTGAGAAAGGTAATGTTTCTCAATTTATTAGTGAACTTGCTTTTTCACCTAGCTACCCTCAGTTATACCAGATGCAATTGGCCAACTTGAAAACTTTTGAAGAGCTAGTTCAATCAAAATGTCTGTCAAAAGCTATGGCACTAAAGACCAAAAGGTCTAACCTAAGGTTTCAACATTTCCAATTAGCAGTACAACGAAATGACATGGCAGGACTCAAAGCCTTAATGACAGAAAAGTCTTCAACTGGGGTAGTTAGAGTGACATCAAACAAAATAATTATACAAAGAGTATATGAGTATCTAATTAGTCACAAGTAAAGGAAAAATATGTTTGTTAAGGTAGTCAGTCAGTGGTAATACTTTAAGATCATATGATACAGTTACATGGGAGGTCATGAAGTTTTAACGTAAAATATTATTCCTCCTGTATGATAAGAATTAGAAAATTGATCGTTGTTATGCAGAACTTTACCTTAACTAACCTTTTGTTGAAATTCATGATCAGAGATAAACATTAATGTGTACTGTAAATTACTGTAAATGGTAGCGTGAGCCCTGCTGTAATATTTGTAAATGTATTGTAGACATATCTTCATGATATAAACCAAATAGTTTTGATAGTTATACAACTTTATATGAACCTTGAATTTTTTTAGATATCAATTTTTTTAAGTTTGTGTAATAATTTATTGTTGATTGGAAAACCATTTCTTACTGGAGGAGATGCATTTGAGTTTTTAATGCATACATAATCCAGTGAAGTAATCTATCCGGCTATAACCCAAATTTTGTTCATAAAGATAGACTGTATGAACATAGTATGATAAATTTTGACTGTACAGTTTCTTGAAAAAAAGTTCAACTTGAGATAAGAGTTTCATAATATGTTGAGTTAACAGTTCTATAAATCTTAGTCTTTTCTGTGTTTTTTTATATATATTTTGGTGGATTTTTTTATTGCTTGTACAGGCAATTAGAACAAGTATATAGAAATTTTTGGAAAATAGCTTAACAATTATAAAAAAGCAGCAGGAACAATTGTAGTCTCTCAGGTGTTTATATTGGTAAAAAGACATCCAAGGTTATTTAGAAATGTTATTGCTATTGGAACTTTAAAAAATCTATTTATAGATAACATACTTTCATCTATTTGTACAGAAGTATCAAAATACTGTATATTCAAAAAGTAAAATTTTGAATGAGATGTCTGGCATAATTATACTCCTACCTCTGTGGATGGGAAAGAAGGAGATCTCCATCTTTAAAAGATTGAATATGGGATAAAATGATATCAGAAAGACTTATACAAGTTACGGCAAATATATTCAAACAAACACTATTTTGATGACTTCAATCATGACTATTTGATGTTTACATGATGATACATGTATTCACTTATTGGTCAGGTCAATGTTTGTGCTGAACATAGTTAATGAAATTTTACACATATTCATTATGATCTACATTTTGCAAATAATTGTATAATAAACCAAATTAGGGTTAAATCTAGAATTTGTCATGTTGAAGTCCAAAGCAAAATGTCTTAATGTTTTTAAAAATTTATATTATTAGCAAGGCTTTTGCAAATTTTATTCAGTGAAATTATTTAACCTAGCTACTACAAACAGTATTTCTAACTGAGAAAAACATGTAATTTATTTGGCATCTTTATTTAATTATATATGTACAAACAAACGTAAGAACAGATATCCATTGAAAATAAAATAAATGTATTAGATCACATGTTGTTGTTTCACTTCTATCAAGAAATATGCTTAGTCATGTTAATTCCCTAAATCAACTCGGTAACACACAAAAAGAAAAACAATTATAATTAAAATCAGCACATAATACTGGATAATCAAATGGAGTGGAAAAAGGGGGGCACTTACTGTGCTGATTATGTGTGGTAGTGATGGTAAGTCTATTTTTTGTCAAATTTATTCGGAATGTATTTTTTTAATATTAAAAAGAAATGAAAAGAAAACAAGAACAAATGCTCACATTTATCTGAATCTTTAATGTGTGATAAAAGAAAGATTAACCATACTAATGGGACATTCTAACTCATATCATAATAAGAAAATAAACAGAAAATGCCATGTTTCCTTTACATAATATTTTATGTTGGTGCTCCTCTAGAAATGAGTCTTATATATAAAGCAAACACAGCCTATTTACACCGAAATCTAATCTGCACATGATACTTAATAATACTTCAAAGTTTGATAAGAAAATGCAAAGGAAACTGCAAGATATCAATCATAACATTTGGTAAAAGCAAACTAAAGTTAGAGAAAGGAAAGGAAAAATTCAGCAATTTTTCAATTTGTAAAGGGGCATAACTCTAGAACGGTTAAAGTGACACCAACAAAATTAAAACTTTGTGTGTGTTGTGTGGTAAAATCATTTTGATAAAGTTTCATAACATTTGGTTGAGGCAAATAAAAGCTGAAGAACGGAAATCAAATCTGGGACGTTCATACGGACGAACAGACTTACATACGGACAAGGGTAAAATTCAATGCCCCCTCAGCTACGATGGGGCATAAAAATTAGCAACTTCTGTCATTTTTTTTCCTGTGAATATTCAAAAAGAGAGGTTTTTTCCAATTTCCCCTATATCCATTCAGAAATTAGCCTATTTGTACCCATTTTCAGAAGTCAAAAAATCTCTTGAATGGCCGGTGACCCCCAAATTTTATTCCAATTTTATAAAAAAGAGACTTCAAGCTTTTCAGTATGAAAAAATGAGCAACTTATGTCATTTTGTTTGCTGTGAAAATTTAATGAAAGAGGTTTTATGTCCATTTTCCCTATATTTAGCCTTTTTGCACTCATTTACCGAGGCCAAAAAATCTCTTGGATGGCCGGTGACCACCAAATATTTTTCCAATTTCGTAAAATAGAGACATCACGCTTTATAGTATGAAAAAATGAGCAACTTCTGTCATTTTTGTTTGCTGTGAAAATTCAATCAAAGAGGTTTTATGTCCATTTTCCCTATATCTAGCCTTTTTGCACTCATTTTCACAGGTCAAAAAATCTCTTGGATGGTCAGTGACCCCCAAATTTTATTCCAATTTCATAAAATAAAGACAAAAAGCTTTTCAGTATGAAAAAATGAGCAACTTCTGTCATTTTATTTGCTGTGAAAATTCAATCAGAGAGGTTTTATGTCCATTTTCCCTATATTTAGCCTTTTTGCACTCATTTTCACAGGTAAAAAAATCTCTTCGATGGCCGGTGAACCCAAAATTTTATTCCAATTTCATGAAATAAAGACATCAAGCTTTTCAGTATGAAAAAATGAGCAACTTCTGTCATTTTGTTTGCTGTGAAAATTCAATCATAGAGGTTTTATGTCCATTTTCCCTATATTTAACCTATTTGCACTAGTTTTCACAGGTCAAAAAATCTCTTGGATGGCCGGTGACCCCCAAATTTTATTCCAATTTCATAAAATAGAGACATCAAGCTTTTCAGTATGAAAAAATGAGCAACTTCTGTAATTATGTGTGCTGTGAAAATTCAATCAAAGAGGTTTTATGTCTATTTTCCCTATATCTAGCCTTTTTGCACTCATTTTCACAGGTCAAAATATCTCTTGGATGGCCGGTGACCCCCAAATTTTATTCCAATTTCATAAAATAGAGACATCAAGCTTTTCCGTATGAAAAAAGAGCAACTTTTGTCATTTTGTTTGCTGTGAAAATTCAATCAAAGAGGTTTTATGTCCATTTTTCCTATATTTAGCCTTTTTTGCACTCATTTGTAGAGGTAACAAAATCTCTTGGATGGCCAGTGACCCCCAAATTTTATTCCAATTTCATAAAATAGAGACATCAAACTTTTCAGTATGAAAAAATGAGCAACGTCTGTCTTTTTGTTTGCTGTGAAAATTCAATCAAAGA